TTTTTTTTCCCTTTTCGTCTTTTATCTCCTCACCTTTCAGCCGCTGACCTCTTTGCCTCCCTCCCATTGCGCCGTCCATTTGCCGCTTGAAGGACTCCGTATCTTGGAACAAGATCCAGTCAGGTGATTCCCTTCTCCCTCACTTCGAGAGCATGCTCAGAGAGTGGTTGATGATCTCATGCGATCATTGACTGGAAGTGCCTGACCGCCAGCAAGGCGCTTTCACGAGCCCAACTGCTCCACGCCAAGTGCAACCTACCAGAGTTTCACCCCAGAGCAACCATCAGACCCCACGCAATCCAGCTCAACCTTCGTATTGCCATCGGTCGAGTCGCTCGGGGTAGTTTCTGTGCCACCGGCAACTAACCCTCCATTAGCGAGGTCCGTCTCCGCGACGTCCGCCTGAGCTTAGGTTGGCGGACTCGCTAGCCGGAGGCGAAGCAAGGGTTTTGCGACGACAGAAACCGGGATATGTGAGTTATGACTGGAAGAAGTAGCCAAGTGCCAATCATGGCGCGGTCTTATGTGACCGACATTAATCAAATATCGGATTAACCCCATGGATTCCGACGGAGATAAACTACAGCCTGGACCGGTCCAGGGGGGGGATGCTCGGTCAGAACTCTGACTTAGAGCATCCACGAGCTGTGCCGAGTCGCCAATCGCTGCTGGACCGTCAGTCGCTATCTACCAGGGAGCCACTTACGCCGAGACTCAATAGGACTCACGAAGCTGTTGTTTTCTTGGCCTCCAAGCCGCATCTCAAACTCTCCTGTGAAACTATGGGACTCGTCGCGTGCTCGTGTATGATTAAGATAATTGACATACGTCAGCCCAGGGCCATGTCCGTGGGATCGTGCAGAGACAGGAGACTGGCACATGGGTCAAAGCATTGCTCTTGTCTCATGCCTTCGCGGATTCGACTGAACTGGCCCAGGCGACTTTGACTGTAATGTGTCGTGTCTGATGGACACATGCTCGCCTTGCAAAATCTTCTCGCATATCGGTTGGTGAGGTAATGAGGCTAAGGCCCTGAGGGAATAACTTCGGCGAAAGGATCACCAGAGCTGTGGGTTCCACATAGTGATAGCACTGCCCCAAGGTATGTCGAACATGGTTTCTCAAGCTCAGTACTTGTGTGGCTGACCCAGAGTGTCAGGCATAGGCTGCTGCCCGATGCTTGCCTCACCAAAGTCCATAGACGTGAAGGGCGCCCCTGTCTCTGATCGGTGGCTGATGGTCGACTCCGGTGACATGTTTACAGCACCTTGCAACAACTTGGGGACGACTTCGACGTGACGCGTTCCAATGAGCTGGATACTTTATCCAGGCTGAGCATAACAATGCCAGGCATGGCTGTCCTTGGTCACGGTGAGACACATTCAAGGTGGCTGTGCGGATGGCATTGCTTTGCTGTGTCAGGCAGATCGAGGATCATAAGAGAGTCGGCTGAGGCTCACTCCTAGGTAAGGGGAGTTGGACGCTGAAGTTTCGTTGAGACTCTCTGAAGCATGATACCACTGTGTGCATTTCCACACTACCAATTCCAACGAAGATGTGAAACACCTTTGGCCTTGCTTGTGGCTTGGTGTGTATCATGTTGCAGCGTCACACCGATCGAAGAGTATTATCGCTTTATCGAGCCACGAACTGGGTGTCGTGGAAGGGCATATGCAAATGGTGTCTGGAGTGTAGCATAGCAAGACAATTGTGCCAGTGGAGGGGGACGGGGTCTCTGCCAGAGACTTAACTAAGCACTGCTGAGCTGAATCATCCATGATAGGCAACAGCCACCTTGACGATAACGAGTCAGGAACATCCAGTCAACTGGTCGGGCCACTGCGATCGCGACGTGCGGTCCGATCAAACTCCGCAATTCAAACCCGCTCGAAGTCAAAGCAAGAAATACTTGAGTAATGCACAAACTATGACGAGGATTCACAAGCATAATCCATAATGAAATGAACAAATCAGCAGTACTGATCGGGCCAGCCGACAAAACGAAGCACGTCAGTTGCCAATCCTATCAGCCGGGATGGTCCGCCACCGGAAGCGGAAATCAAATTCCAGCAGGTCCAGTCCTGCAGAAAGGCGGGAACCATTGAAGCATAAAAAAAAAATATGCCGAGGCCCGTTCGTTCAAGTGATATCATTAGAGGAAGTGGATAGAAGAGAAAGGTGTGTGCAAGTGGATCCTCGACAACTTTTTCAGGAAGCTCTGCTCCGTCCCTTTCCCCTGATTGATCTGCCCTTCGGCTTAGAAATACAAAATGTTATAATATGGGTTGCTTAACAATGTTCTAATTATTGGGGGGGAAATCCACCTTACTATAAGTTGAATTCTCCCCGCAGTACTGTCCTGACTCCTTATACAACAACACATTGCATCTGCATTGTACATACAGTCCTTAATTTGCATACACGCCAAAAATCCCTGTCCAAAATGTCACAAACAGGCACCCCCGTCGACGTCACCCCCCTGGCGCAACCGCTGCCGTTCGAATTCTCGCGGCGCCGCGCGCCCAACCGCTTCCTCAAGGGGGCAATGAGCGAGCGCCTGTGCTCGTGGTCGGTCGACGACCTCGCCGCGCGCGGCGTCCCCTCGGACGAGCTGATCGAGGCCTACCGCGTGTGGGGCGAGGGCCAGATCGGGCTCATCCTGACGGGCAACGTGATGATCGACCCGGCGCACCTCGAAGCCCCCGGCAACCTGATCATCCCCGCGGACGCCCCCTTCGAAGGGGAGCGGTTCGCGCGCTTCCAGCAGCTGGCCGCCGCGGCCAAGGCCCCGCAGAACTCCTCGCTGGTCGTCGCGCAGGTCAGCCACCCGGGCCGCCAGACGCCGGCCGCCCTGCAGCCGCACCCGATCAGCGCCAGCGACGTGCAGCTGGAGGGGGAGGTGCTGGGGAGCACATTCGCCCGGCCGCGCGCGGCCACGGAGGCCGACATCCAACAGGTCATCGAGGGGTTCGCGCACGCGGCCGAGTACCTGGAGAAAGCCGGCTACGATGGCATCCAGCTGCACGGCGCCCACGGGTACCTGCTGAGCCAGTTCCTGTCCGAGACGACCAACCGCCGCACCGACCGGTACGGCGGCTCCCTGGAGAACCGCATGCGTCTGATCCTGGAGATCCGCGCGGCGATCGCGGCGCGCGTGCGCCCGGATTTCATCGTGGGGATCAAGGTGAACAGCGTCGAGTTCCAGCCCCACGGCTTCCAGCCGGAGGAGGCGCGCCAGCTGTGCCGCACGCTGGAGGACCACCGGTTTGACTTTGTCGAGCTGTCCGGGGGCACCTACGAGAACTGGAAGATGGGCGATGATGAGGGCGAGAAGCGCGAGTCCACGAAGAAGCGTGAAGCTGTAAGTCACCCTCAAAAGAAAGAAATCTGGCCCATTGACTAACCTCGAAAAAAAGTTCTTCATGGACTTCGCCCAGATGATCGTCTCCTCCCTCAGCAAGACCAAGGCCTACCTGACCGGCGGGTTCCGGACGGCGGAGGTCATGGTCCACGGCCTCGAGACGCTGGACGGTATAGGCCTGGCGCGCCCGCTCTGCCAGGAACCGTACCTGTGCCGGGATATTCTGAGTGGCAAGGCGACCGGGGCGCTGCGGCAGGCCATCAACCCCTACGACTTCGGGCTGACGGCCGTGGCGGCGTGCATCCAGATCCGGCAGATGGGGCTGCGGTTGGCGCCGATCGACCTGAGCGACAAGCAGCGCGCCGACCAGCTGGTGCAGGCGGTGGTGGCTCGGACGCAGCAGAAGGGCAAGGACTTCTCGCAGGAGGCCGTCTGGCCGCCGCTGATCCCGGATTATAATGTGCCTTTGGCTGTGGAGGCTTGATTTGAGAATTAGACGACTACTACTACTACTACTACTACTACTCCGCAAAAGTCTCAAAGTAGTTAATATGCAAATAAACTTAATTTAATTGTGACCCTGACCCCTCTCCCACTGAGAGAACCACCAGTACCGCCTCAGAGAATATAGCCAAAATAATCAGCAAAAACAATCATCACAAATCCGACCCAGCACAGACCAGACCACAAAAAACCAATTCATCAATAGAGTACCTTGTAACATTACATAGCAGATCACCAGTAAGACCCTAACTTCCCTACTCGAGTAGTGGACAAACAGCACGTGGAGCGCTCCGCTCCCCTCCCCACCCACACTAACGTTATGTTAACCCCTTGGCCCTCCATCCTCCATCCTCCATCCATCCCCAACCCTAACTCCCATCCAGATCTCTCGATCGGAGATCCAACCCAACCAACAGCAACAACAACCCCCAACACCCCCAGTGACTCTCATGCCACTGAGGTACCTTACTGCCCTCGTCCCAAATCCCGTGGCTATGCACCAACCGCCACACTATCCCTCATACCTCGGAGACAGCGGGACCCGCACCGCCACACGGGGGGTTGCATCAGCCACAGTACATAGGCTGCGCCACCTATATTATGTCATTCCGGGCTTGCGCGTGAGTATCAAACGAACTGTATACTATGGAGGAATTGATGGGATGGGATGGGATGGGAGAGTGGCAAGGGTACTTACTGTATGTCTGTCACACTGAAGTAGAATTCGTGGCGCAGTCAGCCTGATGGATGGGCTTGTTGGGCTGGTGATGCTGTGGTTACCACTGGTTGATGTGGAACTTGGTTACTGTCGGTGGCTCAGCTGCATAAGCCTAGATCAAATTTGCTCGAGTTTGAAGTAATGCGTGGATCTGGGAGTGAATACCGAGTACGTGGAAGAAGGTGAGGCTTGAAGCTAAGCTTGGACTTGCCAAGGGCGTGGAGGGCTGCATTGCGTGACACATGCACGAAGCGGACAGGCTGTGCCTTTACGTTAACCCAATGCCGCATCTCCAGCCTACGGTGGGTGCCTCGGCACCAGTTACAGCTGGACTCGCCTCGTCGATTGTATAGTACTTATCATTGTCAGATCCTGCATGTTCAGTACAGCACGCATCAGCCCTCATAGTAAGTAAGTAAGAAGCCCAACCTAAGCATCAACCACCCCCAACCCGGCAAACCGATTCCCCAACCCACAAAACCACTCCTTCTCCTTGCCCACCACCTCGCCCTCTTCCTCTTCCCTACCACCACCACCAGTACATCTCCCCAAAACATCCTCCATCGCCCACGCAATCCGCTCCGCCCCCAGCCTGGCGCCCTCCAAATTCGCCGCCCCGGGCCCCAGCCTCAACGCCGCCAACCGGCCCGCCAGAAACAGCGGCACCCCATCGCACCACATCAGATCCTCCGTCAAGCACGGCAAGCCCTGCCTCGTCTCGACCGGATAGTCCCTGCGCATGGTGTCTAGGAGCGGCATCTGGGTGACATCCGCGCGCATCCCCGTCGCGAAGTAGACGTAGTCGACGGGGGTGGCGGCCAGCTCGGGGATGGGCGGGTCGGTGGCGAGCGTCCAGGTGGAGGTGGCCGGGTCGTAGCGGCGATCGACGATCACCGTGCGCGGGTGGACGGCCAGCCTGCTGCGTGCGGCGTGCTGCTTCAGGATCTTCTGGTAGCGCGGGGTGACGCTGCCGCCGCCGCGGGCGGCGGCGATCATCGCCAGCCGCTCGTCGTCGGTGTCGGCGGACCAGAACCGGGCTTTCTCGAGGTTCTTGAACTTGCCCATCCAGTTGAGGGTGAGGTCGAAGTGTTTCACTGTTTGCGGGGGGTTAGGATATCTTTTGGGGGGAAGGCTAGGGTTACAGTCAAAACGCACCCTTCAAATCCGACCGCATCAACAACCACACCTTCCTCACCCCCCTCCGGATCGCCATATCCGCCAGTTGGGCGGCGGTCAACCCGCCCCCCACCACGACCACATGCGTGGCCTGTCGCTGCTGGATCTTGGTCTGGACGCTGGCGCTGGGGAACGCGCGGATCTCCGAGCTGTGGCAGGCGCCGGCCTGCTCGGGGCCCGTCAGCGGGAACGGGAGGATCTTGTGGGTGCCCGGCCCGATGGCGAGCACGACGGCGCGACTGTGGTGCTGCGTGCCGTCGGCGGCGGTCACCGTGAAGATCTTGGAGTCGCTGTGTTGTCGGTGAATTCCGTACCGGATGTCGGTGACTTCGCTCTGGCGGATTAGCCCCGGCCGGTCGAGGCGGTACCGCGCGACGATGCTGGCGCAGTAGTCGGCGAAGAGGCCGGTGGAAGGCGAGAAGTAGTCCTTGCGGTCTCGTTCGTCGATTTCGGGCTCTTGGGGCGGTTTGCTTTGCCGTGCGTTAGCACACACACCATCCCCACCTGCAGAACTACAGTAGACACGGTGCCCAAGATTGGAAGAGCGAGGTAGAAAACCCCAGAGCACAAGAGACTAGCAGAGGAAAAGAACTCACCCCCTCCCCGCCCTCAACTTCTTCCTCCGATGCTTACTCAACTCCTTCCCCACGCACCCGGAAATCTCCCACAAGTCCCCAAGCCGGTCCTTCTCCTGGGTGTACGCCAGCATCCCGTCGCGGTCCCGCGGATCCACGTGGAAGAACATGGGACTGCGCAGCTGCTCGATCTCCAGCGTCCGGAACGCGCGGTTCCACTTCTCCATCCACCGGGGGCCGGAGCCGTCTAGCACGAGGGTGGACATACTTTCCAGCCCGTCCTCCTCCTCCTCCTCCTCATCATCATCATCTGATACCGATGTACTCTCTGACCCCGACAAGGAAGAGGATGAGCTGATAGATGACCCAGAAGAAGCCAACCCCGGCACCGGGCCCGAGCTCCCTCCTCCATCTTCGGAAGCAGAGCCAGAGCTAGCCCTAACCCTCCCCTTATCCCCATGCCCATGCCCATGCCCAATCCCACCCCCCACCGGAGAAGTAGAAGCCAAGCTGGCACTAGCACTATTCACATACCGCTCCGCCCGCACCCCCCTCCGCCGCCGCGCGTGCGCCTGCACCAACGCCATCCGGCCGCGGTGCTTGTTGATCCAGTGGTAGCGCTGGTGCTCGTCGTCGGTGAACATGGCGGAGGGGGTCTCTTCGCGGAGGCGGGCGGCGACGGCCAGGCCGCAGGGGCCGGCGCCGATGATGAGCACGGAGTGGATTGGGGGGGTTGTCATTTCGGGTCCGGTATGGGGGGGCATTGCTGTTCGGGGGGGGTTGGGTATTTGTGGTCTGGGTGTTGAGGTGATCGGTGGTCGTTGGGGTATTTCTCTGGTTGGGGTAGTCTGGCACCCGGTGGTGGGTGGTATTTGAGAGTGATGGTGGGTTGGTAAGTGGATTGTATTCGATTGCGATGGGTTAGTATTCAGGGACATGAATTTGATTTTAGTTGAGAGATGTAATTTGAAGACAATTGTTGAATAAAGGTTGATCTGTGCCGTAAGACATGCAGAGTGGTGGTGGTTATCAATGGCAACCTTGAATGATAGATAAGTTAGGGCTGGCCTGCTTCCCCCGGGTACTCGATCCCAAGGTCCCCTTGTCCTTGCGCTGCATGGCTGCATTGCTGAGCGACCCATCTTCACCCATGTCGCGGCGTGGTGTCATTGCGGCGATCATGGGGACCTTGCAGACGTATACTGCCTCAAAATGCAAATTTGATCTGCTCCTATGCTTTTGGTGTAGCTCTTCCATTTATGCAAACGAATTCATCACCATAGCTCTTCCATTTATGAATAGAGCTAGTCATTATCAATCAATATGCAAAAACTGGTATCATACCAATCCAATACATTACTTCAAAACATTATTAGCTCTTCGGTCGCACCGGACCACTATTTATGCCACTTCTTCGTCTTAGGCTCTGCAGTCATCGCCCGCGAACGAGGCACCCCCCCTCCCTCGCGTCGATGCCACGCATCTTGCGGCCAAACCCAGCCCCGCACGCGCTTTGCGTCCCGCCGCTCGCCGATCTGGGGCTCAGGAATCCATTTGTCCTTCCCATCGGGCAGAACCCGCTGCCGCGTTAACGCCCCCGGCCCGCCCACGTTGAGATGCGCCGACGGCTGCGACGGCAGGGGCACCGACTTCGAGAGCATGAGCAGAAAGTACAGCGCCATGCTCGCGGTCATCGGCCCGTCGAGCTCATCGGGCGACATATCGTAGTTCCCCAACACCGGGGACTGGCTGGCCAAGGAGCTGTCGCTGGACGGGGCCGGGGAGTGCGGGTACGTGCATCGGTCCATATGGTAGTCCGTCTCACGCGACTGGCTAGCGGCCAGCTTGGTAGGGATAGGCGCAGACAGCTCCAAATACCCAAAGTACGGCACATCGTCGCCCTCGTCGCAGCCGGCTCGGACGCAGACGAGCTCGATCTCGGTCAGGATGAAGCCGTACCGGCACGAATGCTCCCGCATGCACCGCTGCAGATGCGCCAGGCCGTTCAGATACTCCACCCGGCGGTGCGGCGCTTCGTTGCGCATCCCCGTGTTCCACCGATCAAAGGTCTTCACGATCCCCACAAGTCGCCCGCGCGGGAGGCCGGAGCTGGTCCGTTCGGTGTCGGAGGCGTAGTTGGCAAGGAAATGCGGACCGCCGTAGTTTTTGTTGCCCGATACCCGCGGGATCGGAGCATCGTACAGCGTCAGATGCTCTGGGCCCTGCGATACCGCCAGCGCCGCGTTCACGCGAGGAGCGTAGATGTCTCTTAGCACATTGATCAAGCCGGCCTCTGAGTCGGGAGACAAGTGCGAGCTGGGCAGGACGTTCACCGGCGTGAATTGTGAGGGGATCGCTGTTTTGAGAAGCTTCGAGAGTCCATCCACTTGGTTGATGGTTTCCAGGGAGAACGACGACCAGCTGCGCAGGTTGCGAATATCCCACCAGAAGTAGTCGTGCAGCCCTCGTGTCGGGATCACGCTCACATTCCGAACGAGATTTACCGCCTGAGTGGGCGCCGTAAGGTAGGAAAGTAGCGTGGTCGATTCCTCTTCCATCTGGTGAAAAGATCCAACGGGCGAGCATTGAGCACTTGACGTTCGCGTGCAGCTGTAGGGTGACCCTGGCAGCATCAACGGCATCGGGACCTGAGCGGGCGGCCAGGTTCGAAGATGAGTTGGCTCAGCGGGTGAATGCTCAGCATAGGCTGGATACACTACGATATTCGGGGTGACTGGCGTGATGGGCGCGGTGAGTGTACCCTGAGGCTGGACAGAGCACCTGGTCACTTGCCGGTAGATTGAAGACTCATACCGGCCCACTTTCGCTTCATCGATGATAGATGTGGATACCGATCGAGAGTGGCCGCCAACGGCCTTGCGCTTGTACGATGGCGTCAGACTCACGGGCGATGACAGAGCTGGGCCGTGAGGTGTCTTGTACATCGGTGGGACCGAAGCAGGCGAAGACAATCCGAGATATTCCGACGCCGTAGCCCACTGGCTAGACCGTGAGGTGGGGATTGTTGGTAGAGCACTTGGAGGGTTGCGTGTGTTGGAGAGAACACGACCCTGACGGGGCGGTCCATTGGTAGATGTTGGCTCAATCACTACATCCTGCGGCCTGATCTTGGGTAGCAGGGCAGGACCGTGATGATGCCGCGGAGGTGAGCTGATGATAGGACTCGTCGCTACAGTGACAGCTGACCATGGTGATGAACTATTAGAGTATAGAGAAGAGTCGGATGCGTGGCGGCTATGGCTCGCGCCGATAGATCCTTGCAACTGCATCGCAGGAGGGGTAGAAGGCCGATAGTAAGACAGTTCGTGAGACATGATAATGGGCCTAGGGTGATCGAAGGTTCGATATGTGCAAGAAACTCGTCGAATGTATTATCAAGGAAGGACCAGCTTCCAAGTCTGTAACGAAGAGAAGCTTGCTGAAAGCTAAGCAAAAATAGAAGTAGTGTAAGTGATCAAGGAGATGCCGACGTATGCTAAGATTGACTCATGGTCTTCATGAACGCTCACACTGGTCATGGCGCATTTGGATGGAGACGGCCTCGACATTAAATGCTCTTTGCTCTGCTACCCCTAAGCAGCATCTTGTTCCAAAAAAAGGAACAGCATGGCCCGAACCGGCTGCAGATGAGATGAAACATGGGGAGATCTCCATCTTGACGCCAGGCCAGCAGTCAGTCCATCGGTCTAGGGCATGATGGCACGAAGATCGGTCCAGGGACTGCCGACATCTGCTGGAGGGAAGCGCGATGCCAACGGTCCTAGGGCGAGTGGGCGTGTTTCATCCGGCAGTCGCGCGTCAAAGTGTTGCTATATTTTGCATCTTCGTCTCTTCTCCAGATCTGAACCAGAGTGTCGGTTATCGGTGCAGATTTTAGGTCGTCAAGGTCTAAAAAAAGACCTAAATTCGGCAGCGATTTCGTTTCATCTATTCTGGGTAATTGCACCTAAGTTGATCGATGTAGTTCGCGAGAGCGTCACGCCTGGTTCGTCGAGGTCAGTGGGCGGCAAGAGGGTGTTTATGGGCACAACCAGTTGACCTGGACCAGTATGCCTTCATGGCGCATAGAGGGAGAGTGACTGCAAGGTTAGGCGCCGAGGGGTCTGTGGAACCACAGCCATTTCAACGCGCATTGGCTGTTACTAAGCACGGTCTTCAGTATCAAGCAACAGGCGGCATGACTTTAACAGCAGGTTCATCCTAAGAATACACCCGGGGAAAAGCAGGAAGGAAAGTACCTGGGAATATATGAGGGTCATGCAAGATGTCGCAGTAGGCGCCGGCCAATGTTGACCTCGGCGCCAGGCGGCCTCAGTGGTTATTCCCTCACGAAAACCTGCAAGGAAGCGTGAAGTTGCCTGCGATTGAGCAAATCATGTCAGATCAAGATGTAAATTAGTGAGAATATCTGCTATCCCGTCAGATGTGCAGACAGAGTCAAATCGCATGAAGATTGCAGAAGAATGAAGAATGAGGAAGAAAGGCCAAGCAGCGGCGAACGAGGATCAAGCAACCCGGCGGGAAGTAAAACCACTAGGTTGCTCTCGGTTGACCACCACAGAGTACACTCATTGAGTATGACAGCGTTTTCCAACTTGGTCATTGGATTCATCACACGGTTCTGGAGATCTTGAGGAAGCTGGCTGAGCGTCTGACTGAGGCGGCTTTCTTTGGCCAGATAAGCACGTGACTTGACTTATCTTGACTGTCATCGACGGGACAAAACAAACACCTGCATACTTATACAAACACCGGGATAAAGCTTCGGATTGAATAAATCTTTGATTATCTAAGATAAGAGCAAGGCCCCGAATCTCGTGGGCCGCCTTATGTAAAATGCATCCCAGCACCCGTCTGGGGAGTCTGAAATCGGCCTCCATCCGAAGGCAACAAATAAACAATATGTAGAGAAACATTAATGCGCCATAACATTTGGCATGGGAATCAAACCGAGAACCCGTCAACCTCGAATCCTTCTCAATCGAATCAATGGCTGGGGGACGGCAGGCAAACAAAATCATCATGCATGCTGGAGGGAATCTAGAAAGTCGTCTAAAGAACTGATCATGTCCAAAGAAGCACAGCTAGTCGTCATTTAGGCCTTGACCTCGTACTTGCGGCGGAACATGTCGTCCACCTCAGTCAGGTAGTAAGTGCCCGGGAAGAGGGTCTCCGTGTTGCCGGAGGGCTTGAAGTTCTTCTTCAAGTGAGCGTGCTTGCGGAGATCGCACATCTATTCCAGCACAATTAGCATTCTGCAACGAAAGATCAGCGGCTCGATGGCTCCTTACCTCGACATAGGACTGGGGAGGAAGAACAACGCGGCTGTTGAGACGGTTGATCAAGTCGAGCTTCTCAACAATGGTCGAGACATCACCGACAACCTTGGCGCTGAGCATGGAACTGGCGAGACCACTGCCGTAGGAGAAGATACCAATGCGCTTGGGCTGGCTAGGGTCGAACTGGACGTAGGACAGTAGACTGGCCAGACCGGCCCAGACGGTACCAGTGTACATGTTACCGCAGAGAGTGGCAACCTCAATGGCGGGCTTGACACGCTCAGCAAAGCGCTTCTTGGTCAGAGCCATGAAGGTCTTCTCAACGTTCTTGTCGGTGAGAGACTTCTCGTAATCCAGATCACGCAGCTCAGGGGCGACCTCGGCGAAAGCCGGGTGGGTGGGGTTGGCGAGGAAGTCGTTGTAAAGCATACGGCCGTAGG